TCGATAAACAGATATGGAATGATTTGCAACTTATAATTCCAGATCACTCAGCTGAACCCATTATCCTTCCACCAAGATTGTTTAGTTGAAAATAATTCGATAACTCTTGATAGTAATTTTGTTTTAAAAGTCAATGAAGAACATACTGCATTAATTTCATCCTCATAGATTTCGATTAATTCTTTGAAGAAGTCTTTAGAATGTTTATGATGGCATACTAATACGATTGTGGTCACAAAAATCGAAGGAACGAGCGAATTATTGGTGGATTTAGTCCTTTAGCTTGGGATAAAACAAACGAAGATTAGATGAAAACAAATAAGATATATATATTTTCGTTTAAAGATGATAATATCAAAATTCAGTTTCTAGTAGAGATAAAAATGAAAGTAAATCTTTATAACAAAGATAAATTTGATCCATATTTTAGAAATTATGAATTCGCAATGAGATCAAATGTATAATCATGATAAGCAAAATCAGTGTGTCAGTATTATTATGAAAACTCTCTTAGAATGATCTTAGATTTTCTATTATCGATTATGAAGCATTTAAAGTTATCAGACAATCTGTCTAAAGTTTATATTTCTACTTATAGACTTTTAAAAAAAATAGATTTGTTTTGAGAATCATTAATGAAGAATTAAAAGAAGTTGACTCATAAATGATTGAAATTATTGAAATTTATTTATTTTAATATGAAATACACGACAGTCAAGTTTATTTATCAATCTCAAGTCTTAATAGAGTATTTTCTTTAACATAATATTCTCAACATTTGATTTGTTGCTCTATATAATAAGCACTTTATTCGATCTAATTAGCAAGAAATAATAGTTTAGATATTATAATTAAGATTTAGTATATTAGTTGATTTGGATAGTTTGGAAATAATAGTTGTTTTAAATAAATGGAGAAATATATGCTTTTTCAACTTTATTTTTTATCATTAAAGTTTTTCGTGTTACTAAGAAGCTACTGAAATGACGATTCTGAATTTTTTATTTTTAGATAGACTTTTTAACTACTCTAAATACTTCATAATCTACAATAGAAAATCCATTTACAGTTTTTCTAATAGATTTTTTATAATAATAAGGACCTCTACACCAATTTAACTCATCTTGAGTAAAATCAGATACATCTGATCTCATCATGATTTCATCAAATCCAAATATTGGACCGTAATTATCTTTAACAGTATTATCTTGATACCATAAAGCACATCTTTCATCCTTAACTCTACTAAGAATCGAGTTTAGAACATTTCTACCTTTAAATGAAAATATAAAACTCTTATTTGTTTCCACCCAACCCTCTTTTGTTTTATCCCAAGCTAAGGGATTAAACCCGCCAATAATTTCATTCGTTCCTTTAATTTTAGTGACCACAATTGTGTTGGCATGTCCATTACAAATATCCCAAAAATTTCTTGGAGCAAACCCATCTTTACTTCCCCGAAGAATTAATTGAAATTCATAAGGATTATTTGTTAAAGAATAGCTTGTTGGTTGATAATCAATCCATGATGAAATCATTGATGCATGTTCTTCATTGATTATGGTTGAAAATAATTCGACTACTCTTTCTGGTAATTCTTGTCTTAAAACCAATCTTGGTGGAAGAATAATGGACGTTATTGGTCGATCTGGGAGTATAAGACGTTGCTTCCAATCATTCCATAACTGTTTATCAAGAATTTTCTTATATGGTTTAATTTTATCCATAACATCTGAATTTGAAATTTGAAAGTAACGAATAAGTGGTAAGCATTGTTGTAAAGTTGTTTTTAAAGCTGTAAAGTTTTCGTCAGACCATTCTTCTAATTTCTCGGGTAATGTAGGATTCTGTGCGGTTCCCCACTTAATTAAATAATCCCATATTTCTGATTCTTTCATCTGTAGGTCATCACGTTTTAAAATTGATACTAAAGCAGATTCATGAAGAAAAGTGAATTCTACGGATTCAAAAATAACACTTGGATGTTTTGCAATAATATCATTACAAAACTTTTCTAAATTTTTAAATTCGTTATGTTTAAAAATTGAATGATAAACAAAAGTGAAATGAGTTCTTAACCAAGAAGCTTTGGATTCAATAAGATGATTTTCTAATTTCTCGGATAATTCCTCAAACTCCAACTTGTTAGCAAGAATCATTAAATCGTACACAGTTCTTGCGTCCACATTTCCTGTATTAATAATTCCACCGTAGATATATCTATATAAAATTATAAAATTTTTTTAAATTAATTTATGTATATCGTACAAAAAAAAAATACTCTATTGATGCACAATAATTAAATTATGTAAGGGCTTACTTGAGAATAATTTCGAATATTTGGGCTGAAATATTTGGTTTAGTAATAATTTTATAATTATTATTATCTTCACTGGGAGCAGTATCTGATAATTCTTTATTAAAGTAAGATGAACGATAACGTAAAACAGCCGAATGTGCAGTGAAGGTTTTTTTGTTTTCTTCTTGTCCAACTTCAATAATAACATTATATTCTTCTTTATCATTAAGCAATTCTGAAAAGTCATGCGATAACTTTTCCAAAAACCTGACTGTCATTTTTTTAATTTTTTTTTTTTTGTTATTTTAGAAGGGTTTAGGCCTCATATGTTATCGTCGGACAATAATATATTTGTGTAATCTTTATCACTCATGTGACAAAGTATTGTGTAATACAATTTGCGATTATATTATATAAATTTAAAATTTAATACAAAAATATCCATATCTAAAACTATTAGGTATATTTGAAACAGAAATAGAATAAAAATAGAAATGAGTAAAAGTAGGAGTAAAAAAAGAAAATTCTTATACCTAAATAACAGTGATTACTAAAATAAAAAAAAAAGATTATGACAATCGATTTTTTTACAAACTCAACATAGGTAACGATAATCGCTTCCCAATTAAAAAAATTATTTGCATCGCCATAATCTATTTTGTCAAAACTGAGACACATTATCGGATGATCTAATTTTCAGCTCTTAACAGGATCAAAGTGTTTATACTGGCAAAATTTAATTGAATACATATGCTTAATATAAATTTTCAAACAGCAAATGGATCAACAACGACGCAGTCACCACAAAACAAGCCTGTCTGGTTCTTAATTATAAGAAGGGTTAAATTTTATACAAACGACTATGTAATTCTCGATTTCTTTCTCCATTGTTAAAATTATTTGAAGCTGAATAAAATCTGATCTCATTAATAAAAACATAATTAGAATTTTTTTTTTGTCATCACTTCAGTTTTTATCATCTTTATAATGAAATATTATTTTAATTAAATTTCTTTATAAAATTTTATAAAATATTTAGATATAAACATTTAAAATTAATCTTTTGCCGCATAAGATTGCATAAGATTGTACCAAGACATTCAGGGAAAAATGGATTTCGCTTCAATCTAAATAAAAATTATAAATATAAGATCAAAACTAAGTATTTCCCGATTGTATATTGACACCTAATTTTTGTATTCTAGGTATTTGCATTACGGAGCATATCGATCAATACATACAATTGTAATTACAAAAATTTTTGTTGATTTAATTTTAAATGCATATTATAATTCCAGGCAGAGATTTCGGAATTGGTATTTTTAAATATGTATTATCATGGTCCTTTAAAATATATATAATTAGGACGCTCTAATTTATTTATACTACTCACAATCTTTTTACTCACTTCATCAAATTCATCTTCAGTGAAGATTGTTTCACAATTTTTTAAAAAATTTTTTTTTTTTATCATTTTTCGTTTTTTTTTTTGCAGTTTTTCATTCTTTTTTTTTAAATCTTTAATACGTGATATAAGTAAAGTAGCTTTTTCTGCTCGTTTTCTTTTTTGGGGGATGAATCTTCATCTTGAACATCCTCAGACGAAAAGGAAATTTTGTTCATAGTTTATTAAGAAGTCATTTATAGTAAACCATAATCGGTAATTAATTAAGTTTTTTGTCAAAAAACTAGTCTAAATTAAACTATTCCGAAAGTTAATTAAATATATTTTTTAAAATATAAAATAAGGTGTCAAAAGTATTTACAGATAATATTGACGATAAAATAATTGGTTTACAAAATAATCACGATTTTCAATAATTTTACGGGTGGTCCTAAACTTTTGAGACTGGAGTGTTTGTCGATACGATATCGAAAATACTTCAGGTTCTATTGTAAGAAAAGAACCTACTTTATTTATGATATATGTTTGCAAAAGTAAACTTATAAATTGATAAATTTATTTATAAGAAATAAATATAAAGCTCTATGCTTGTTTAATAAATATCAAAAAAAATATATAAATGAAAAAAATACTAAAAATAATTTATTTTTATTTCACAATTGACAAGTTATTTTATTTTATTACTCATTTTCAAAAATTCCCCTATTTTATTATAAATTAAACAAAAAACTGATTTTTTCGTTATATACTTTAGTAATTGAAACACTTCATAGCAAGAAAATTCTTGTTAATAAATTTATAAAAAAATAATGAAAGATATTTAGTGAGTCTGCGATTATTGATTCACCTTTCATAGAGCAAGCTTTTGTTTTATTATAAATAAAAGTATATTATTTTCGCTGATTATATTTTAAATTTACAGTTAGATTTATTAATTATCTAATTATCCATGTATAAATATTCAATAAAATCTGCCTTATTTTTCGCACTATTTCTAATTAAAGTTTAAATTAAAATGTGTATCATAAAATATAAACCTTTGTATTTTGTTGCCTTTCCGGCTGCTCAAATAAAAGATATCTTTGTTGTTTATTAAAAATCGAACCATGCTATGAAATATAACAATATAATCAGAAATTGAATTTTAAATTGTAAAAGAATAAATTAAAAAAAAACCTTTTCCTAAGTATCGATGCGTTTGGCGTCACCTTCCTTTAGAGCAATCTAGACTCACTACTTAAGATTTAATAAATAAATTTATAAAAACGAAACGAACCTTTTCCAAAGAGTTCATCAATGCTTTCAACGTCTAATTATGAAGTACCGTAATTCTTGATATCATTACGAATAAAATTAGAACTGTTGAATTACTTCTTTTATTAACTAACATAAAAGATAAAATTAGAATTCAATTAAACAAGTCATCTAAAATAATAGAAATTTTTTTTAAAATTTTTTGTGGTCGCCTTGCTAATGTGATTTTTTTTGGAATCATTTTTATTAGCTACTTATCGATAATAAATATATATTTAAATGTATATATTAAATATTACACAGAAAATTGAAGAACAGATCCAAAGGAAGAAGGAACGAGTCAAAAAAAAAAGAAATAAATAAATTGTAAAATTTTTACCTTGTATAATCGCAAATCTTGGATCACAGTTCTGTAATAAGGTAACATAAAAAAAGGGATCACAAAGCAGATAAGTATTTTTTTTTTAAAAAAAGAATACACGAATTCCAAGATCATATATCCAATCACAAAGAAGAATAAGCAATTCTTTAAAGATCTATCTATCAATCTAATCCCAAGAAGGTAGGAAATATCAAAGAAAATCTATGGAATTGCCTATAAAAAATAACTTAGATCGATCTGCGAACCCACATTCTCGGTAATATTCAAATGAACCCGACCAGTCCAGTTCCAAGAAGGTTAATAAGATTAATAAAAGTAAAAAAAAAAAGAATGTTAAAAATATCACCTGAAAAGAATTACATATTACAAACTGTACAATGATTTCATTAATATTTTGAACGAATACAATAAGTATGAAGATTTCTTTGAACAAAATCTTTCCTAAGTTAGACATGGAATGATATGAAATTCCAATTAGAAGTACACATACATTGAATGTAGATCGTTTATCTTATTTGAGAATAATTAAATTCCAAAAGAAATTCTCATTATTAATAAAGTGAATGTAGATCGTTTATCTTATTTGAGAATAATTAGATTCCAAAAGAAATTCTCATTATTAGTAAAGTGAATGTAGATCGTTTATGGAATTCCGGAACTTCAATAAATAATAGAAATTCTAGAGAATTAGAAGTTTCTGAAAGAATTTATTATTGAACGATTAATATTTATTCGAGACAAGCACTTATCCGACAAACCAAAGCGTAAATTAATATAAACGACTGACGTGTAAATATTGAAATTTTTTGTATTTCATATTTTTATAGGAAATATATTTATTTAATTATTTTTTTTTCTATCTATTATTGTATAACCTTTCGACAATATTATAAATTTTAACGCCTTTAGAATATATATTCCATATAGAACTTCAATAAAATTTATTATGTTTCAAAGTTCTATTTTTATAGACACTTTATTCTGCTTAGTGTAATTTAAGTAAAAAATGGAAAATATGCAATACAACAATATTCAAACAAAAGAAGGTGAAGAGAGAGAATTTCAGTTGTACTTGAAATCGGCTGAAGAGGGAAATAATGATGGACAGAATAATCTTGGTTATTGTTATGAATTTGGGATTGGAACAACAAAAGATGTAGAGAAAGCATTTCAGTGGTACTTGAAATCAGCTGAAGGGGGAAATAGTGGTGGACAGTATAATCTTGGGAATTGTTATTATTCTGGGATTGGAACAACAAAAGATGAAAAGAAAGCATTTCAGTGGTACTTAAAATCAGCTGAAGGGGGAAATAGTGATGGACAGAATAATCTTGGGTATTGTTATCAAAATGGAATTGGAACAACAAAAGATGAAAAGAAAGCATTTCAGTGGTACTTAAAATCAGCTGAAGGGGGAAATATACTGGGACAGTATAATCTTGGGCGTTTTTATCACTATGGGATTGGAGCAACAAAAGATGAAAAGAAAGCATTTCAGTGGTACTTAAAATCAGCTGAAGAAGGAAATAGCGATGGACAGAATATTCTTGGGTATTGTTATCAAAATGGAATTGGAACAACAAAAGATGAAAAGAAAGCATTTCAGTGGTGCTTAAAATCAGCTAAAGGGGGAAATATAATGGGACAGTATAATCTTGGGCGTTTTTACCAATATGGGAATGGAGCAACAAAAGATGAAATGAAAGCATTTCAGTGGTACTTAAAATCAGCTGAAGGGGGAAATATAATGGGACAGAATAATCTTGGATATTGTTATCAAAATGGAATTGGAACAACAAAAGATGAAAAGAAAGCATTTCAGTGGTACTTAAAATCTGCTGAAGGAGGAAATATGATGGGACAGCATAATCTTGGTCGTTTTTATCAATATGGGATTGGAACAACAAAAGATGAAAAGAAAGCATTTCAGTGGTACTTAAAATCAGCTGAAGGGGGAAATATAATGGGACAAAATAATCTTGGGTATTGTTATCAAAATGGAATTGGAACAACAAAAGATGAAAAGAAAGCACTTCAGTGGTACTTAAAATCAGCTGAAGGGGGAAATAGTGATGGACAGAATAATCTTGGGCGTTTTTATCAATATGGGAATGGAGCAACAAAAGATGAAAAGAAAGCATTTCAGTGGTACTTGAAATCAGCTGAAGGAGGAAATATAATGGGACAGAATAATATTGGGTATTGTTATGAATTTGGGATTGGAACAACAAAAGATGAAAAGAAAGCATTTCAGTGGTGCTTAAAATCAGCTAAAGGGGGTAATATAATGGGACAGTATAATCTTGGGCGTTTTTATCAATATGGGATTGGAGCAACAAAAGATGAAAAGAAAGCATTTCAGTGGTACTTGAAATCAGCTGAAGGGGGAAATATAACGGGACAGAATAATCTTGGGTATTTATATGAATTTGGGATTGGAACAACAAAAGATGAAGAGAAAGCATTTCAGTGGTACTTAAAATCAGCTGAAGGGGGAAATATAACGGGACAGAATAATCTTGGGTATTGTTATCAAAATGGAATTGGAACAACAAAAGATGAAAAGAAAGCATTTCAGTGGTACTTAAAATCAGCTGAAGGGGGAAATAGTGGCGGACAGTATAATCTTGGGCGTTGTTATCAATATGGGATTGGAACAACAAAAGATGAAAAGAAAGCATTTCAGTGGCACTTAAAATCAGCTGAAGGTGGGGAGGAGCTTGGTCGGAGTTCGGTTGAATATTTATATCGAAATGAAATTGGGATCTCAAAAATTAAGAAAAATGAAAACAATTTAATGCAAGATGATAAATATGATGATAATAAAGTATCTGTTGAACATTTTAATAATAATCATTTTTGTTGTATCTGTTGGAAAGAAAATGGGTGTAGTAAAATCTGCATTAAATATTATCAAAATTTTGGTTTATGTCATGATTGTGGAAATTTAAATATGTACAAAAATAGATGTCTGAATTGTAAACTTATTGAAATAGGTTATTTGTCAAAATGGGCTAGTGGTAATTATGAAATTGACAAGATTATTCACATGTCTCAATTAAATGAAGATGCAAAGGTATGGGAAATTTGGAGATGGATAGATTATAGCAAATTCAAAAAAATAGAATACTTAGCTGAAGGAGGGTTTGCTAGTGTTTGGAAAGCAGAATGGATGGATATACCTCAAGAAATATTTGAATTCTATAATTCAAATCAAGTTGCTTTGAAGAAGCTCAAGAATTCACAACAAATTAGTTCTGAATTTTTAAAAGAGGTATATATATTAAAATATATTAATTTTTATAATGTGTGAAATACTTAATTTTAACTTTTTATATCTTTATAACTTTATAATATAGTTAATGGTAAATTTCCATTGTCGAGATAAGTATGTTTTACCAATTTTGGGCATAACACAAGATCTGAATACAAAAGAATATGCAATAGTTTTACGATATATGAAAAATGGAAATTTGTTAAACTTTCTTCAGCAAAATAAGACATTGCCTTGGAAGGAACGGTTATGGTTGTTGAATTCTTTTATTAGAGGATTGAAAACAATTCACAGTAAAGGATTTATTCATCGTGATCTTCATCCTGGTAACCTTATGATAACTGAAGCCCACAATGGTTTAAATTTTATAAGATTGGGAGATTTAGGATTGTGCAGACCAGTAAATGGGATCTTATCATCTGGAACATATGGTGTATTACCATATATTGCACCAGAGGTCATGAATAAAAACAAATATACACAAGCTTCAGATATTTATAGTGTTGGAATTATCATGTGGGTAATATCAACAGGAAAAATACCATTTGAAGGAGAATTATATGATCCAGAATTAGCAATATCTATTTTCAATGGATATCGTCCAAAAATTCACAAAGGAACCCCTCAATGTTATATTGACTTGATGGAAGAATGTTGGCACAATATCCCATCTGAACGACCAAGTGCTGAAATGATTTTTAATACATCAGAGAAATGGATTATTGATTTACAATATTATGAAGAAACAGAAAGTGCACTTATGTTTTTAAATTCTGTTCAAGAAATGCAAAATTTAGATTCTGAATTATTATATAATGAAACTGCTTGGTCTGAAACACATCTTATAAGTCAACCTTTAATGCGACATTGTTTAGCAATTCATGAATCTCTTTCAAAATTTGATATAAATAAGTATATTGATGAGATCAATTTAGATGACTAATAAATTAATTTACATTGTTTGAATTACGATACGATATTTGAAAAAATCAAATTTTATTAACTACTATTTTTATATTACCGTCATAAAACTATATAAATATCTGATATTGTATTAGTAAAATCCAGTAAATTCATCAATCGTTCTCTGAGTCAATTTCAATGTTACTAAATATCCTGAGAGTTTATTTTTTTTAAAATATTATATAAAGATTATGTTAAAGAAATTTAGATTTATTTAAAGTCTGGTTCACTTGTCTTTGTGAAACATACTTTTCTTATCTACTAACCCGTGGGGAGTAGTTTTTTGCTAAATTATTATGAAATTTTAAATTGCGATACATTAAAGAAAAATTAAATTCGCCACGAATAAAAGAGAAATAAAGTAGAAATTAATTCCCCACTGAAATTTAAAAACAAAAAAAAAAATTAAAAGAATCATATTCACCAAGAATTCTTAATCCCACTTGTAGGTTAAATGCCATATTAACACTTTCCGCATGACCACATTTTGGATTTGTGGTTAGATAGTTTTATGAAGGTATTTATTCTTGGCTTTCTCAATGTCATTTACATTATTGATGTCGTTAGCACAATTAACATCCCATTACGATTGTTATTGTGTTTATTGTTATATTATTATTGCATGAAGAGAAAGAATTTATAATATTTGAAGATCCAAGGGATTGAAACGGTTATCAAATTAATTTGGAAATTCTTATTGTAATAATTAAAAACAATAAAATATCATCTATAAAATAAAAAATACAATAATGAACTATCTCAATGATTAATGAATTATTATCTTATTATTTATTGCATTTATATTCGTCCGCTTATCAGTTGTACTAAAATTTTTAGAAGAAAATTCTTCGGGACGGTATAAGTTACTAGCTTAAGTTTAAATTTTTTTGTCTTCGTTGGATTCTAAGCCGACATGACTTGATTTAATTGATTCTGCATAAATTTCTGTAACGCTTTTAAATTCTAATAAATTATCAAAAATATTTACGATAATGATGCTTTCGTTTCGAATCCACTTTTTTTTGGATGATTCCGAATTTAAAATATCTGAATGTCAATTTTTCATAACCACAGTATATACAGTATATATATATATATATATTCATGGCTTCAATTGAAATTGTGGTGGGTAAAATTTTTATCAATTATAGTTGCGTAGAAAAACATCCGTGAGTAAAATTAAAAATTGGTTTAAATCCAAAATTTGCAACTCGTGTAACCTATGGGGTACTTTAAAATTATCTTAGAAACTTTAAAATGTGCAAATAAAAAATACTAATTAATTCCTTAAATAAATTATATGAGAAAAAAAAAGTCCAAAGGTTTTATATATGATATTGGGAAATACTAGATTTCATTCCGAATCATGCCAATTGTAATTGTTATATATTTTAATATTGATTTAAATGTGTGTTTTTAATTAATATTGATTTAAAAATGCGTGTTTTTAATTAATATTTAAATTTGAATTCATATTAATGTTTAAAAAAAATGGGATGCGCCAAAATAAATCTAATGCTTGTACTAAAACCATGGAACAAAATTCATGTGTGCACAAAGCATATTTAAATTGATGACAATTAACTTGTCATTATTAATAGGATTATTATGAAAACTTCACTAACAGGAACCGAAAAGATTATTTAAAATAATCTTTAATTGTATTTTCTTAGATTCGTGAAAAGAAACGTTGCACGATTTTCTTGGTAGTAAAAAACCCGAATTAAATTTATATTCATATTAATATAACAATTAAGTATGCAACAAATGAAAATGATATTGCAGATATCCAAGGATAAAAATGATAATAGTGTAAGCTTCAGAAGAATGGGACTGTAGGGATGCGGTATATTGCAGCAGAAAATATAATTTCTATCAAACATAAGTATTTTCAGTTTTGTTTTATTACAGATTTTTCATAAGAAATTTTAAATGTATATTTTCGAAAATGTTAAAAAATCAAATTTCGAAGGTGAAATTTTAATTTTTTTTCACATAAATGATCAACCTGATGTTATTATAAAATCATAATCCAGGTAATTAAAATTATTCTTTTATCATTTATTGCTCTTAACTAATTCATTTATTTTAATTCAGATATTAATATCAGTAGACATTATAGGATACTATTATTATTCTATTGATATAAATATTAACAATAATAAGAAATATATCAACATATACAGTATTATTGACAATAATAACTGAAACAACCAATATATTTTTTTGTATAAATATTATTAATATAATTTTTTTGATTTCATTATCACCATCATAATTATCAATGATCAGTAAGAGAACATAACGAGATGGTGTGTTGTTATTAATTTTATTGTTGAAATTACTTCGGCTGTATCATGAGCTTTATCTGCTTTAACTGCTTCTCTTCTACTCCATCAACTAGTTCTTTTTCTTCTACGTCAAGGAATCCATATAAAATATAAAATGTGAAAAATCCTAGGATAGAAAATTATTCATGAAAATTAGGATTCAAACACTCATCTTTATTCGTCATTTTTTATCAATTATACTCAATAAATTTTGACTCATTTATTTATCTTTAACTTATTGGATGTCTAGATATAGATATTAATATTAGTGGACTTCTAAAAACATGTGATTAGTAATATCACAAATAGTAGTAACGAAAGAAAAAATATAATATATTTTAATAATCGATGACGATGATGATAATTAAACGCACCTCGCTTTAAACCCGAAGAAAAAATGATAATAAAATCACATTGGAAACTATTTATTTTTTATTATTTATTAATTAACATTTTTTTTTATAATTAATTTAACAAATGTTTTCTCGTTAAACCACCATCATTACTATTATTTTTAATTTTATCGGCATCACTATCATCACCATCAACCGGTTGTTCATCTCCGTTTACTTATTTTTTTCAGTTACGATATGGGTTGGGTGATAATTATCTATTTTTTATAATTACATCGTTATTATATGTAGCATTATCATCGTTACTACTTGTAATATTATTGGATTGTTGATTTTTGCAAGAGTTCTACTTATAGATCAAAAAGTTTGTTTATTATATATATATATTTTCGGTACGTCGCATGTACAGTATTTAATTAGTATAAATTGATTTCTTAATAAAAAGAAAAATTATACATTGCATGTAAAAAATTTATTTTATTTGACAAAAGTAGAGTCCCAAAAGTTTGATTATTTATCATAATGTGGTACGATTATTTTTTTTTTTAGAATTTTAATATTTCTTAAAATTTTTATTTCTTAGACAAAGAATGACAACTGAAATTTCCACAGAAATATCAATTATATTTCTAAATAATGGTCAATCAACTCAAGCTTTATATTCATCATTATTAGGTAATCGAATCTGGTGTAAAGTAACTATGCCTATACTTTGTGAATTAACTTTGGGTCAAGAATATTGTTGGTGTGATAACGAGGTGGATAAGAAAGTACCTCACCTCAAGCCACTTTTGATTATCCATGATTCACTCATAAATTAATAATAGTTAATTTAGTTGATTTTATTTCCATATATTCATCTAAAATTATTGGTCCAGATCAATAATAATAATGAAACCACCATCATCCACCGAATCGAGAATGTTATTTCTTGAGATATGTAAAACATTCTATAAATCTTTATCAAAAAAAAAAAATCCTAATTATGTGAATCCTTTATAACTTTATATCAACATGAAAAGAATCAATTTTAATATTTATTTATAATTTTAATACTTTATTTAAATTTTATTAATTATTAATTAATTAAGAAAGTACTTTAGGAAAATAATAATACAAAATGAAAGAAGGGGTAAATATTATTATTTAAAATCTAACTATTAATTTCCTTTATAAATCTTATGTGCCAGTAAAAATTTGCGATGATAAAAAAATTCTATCACAAATCTACAAATTATTCATTTCATAGATTATACTTTTAACATATCTAACCAAGTAACTGTACTTTTGAGAATTTTTGATTTTGGCCTTTAAACAACATTTAATTTTTGTCCCAAATTTTATCATATAAAAAAAATAAAAAAAAATTGTATATGAAAAATATAAAAAAAGTATATATATAAAATATAAACTATGTCATTATAAATCCATCATGCAATTTTATGTTGACTTATTTTCTGCATGTTCCCTAACAATTATTACAGTACAATGACAATTATGAACACAATGATCACTCACAGAGCCGAGTAGCATTCTAAAAAGATTTACATATTTTTTAATAATTATAATTAATTTTTTTTTTATTTCCATAATCTTGAAAAATGAGAAAAATGAAAAGCTGAAAATAAAACTGACCGCTTTATGGCTCCCAGACTACGAGACCCAAGAATTAAACTATCAGCATTTAATTCAAAAACTTTTCGAACAATTTCATCACGAGCATCTCCTCGCATGGATATTGCTTTAAATGCAAACTAAATAAAATTTGAAGAATAAAGAAATATAAATAAATAAATAATAAGATAGAAATAAAAATATTGATATAGAAAATATTACTTTTTCAGCCTTTAATTTTGACACGAATTCTTGTAACAGATTGTGACTCTCTTGTCTTTGCTAATTTAATATTAATTAATTAAATAACCTCATTAAAAATATTATTTAAATGAATATAACGTAACAAATAATTTAATTTGAGAAATTTGTAAATACCTGATCGTCTAAACTCATAACAATTTCATTGAAACCAATATAATTGGAACCAATAGCTGTAAAGGATTACAATTGATTAATTTTTTTTTCATTATTAATTTAGTAATAAGTATTAAATTTTTCTTACCGTACGGACCAGGGATCATTGGAGTTGGTCGAACATTTATTAATACAACCTAAGATTAAAAAAAATGTTAATATCTATATTTATAAATAGATATAAATTTTAGATTATGAGTTATTTTACCAACCAAATCTGATTCTTTTCCCAAAAAGTTCTTTACAGCCCAATCAAATGCAAAGTGACTATAGTTTGATTGATCAATAGCAATTACCACAACACGAGTATTTGGGGAATCCGCATCATGATTGGTAGCAAGAACCGTATCTTCTGGTGTACGTTGATGTGTTTCAGTAGATGAAGACATTATTTTTAAGTATTTTTAGTAGGAGAGTGTTTATGAAGAATTGGGTAAGAATTTACCTTTCCTTTATATATATTGATGAATGATCATCTCAATTTTTTTTTAATTTACTTGAGAATCAGCTCATGATGCGAATCATGCCACAAATTATTTTTGCACAATAAAGTCATTTTAAATGGCATGATTTTTGAACCAATTAAGAAACTACATAATTGGTAATAATCAATACCAAAAAAGGAATTTGTTATTTTCTATCATAATTAAATAAAATATAAATGAGGCCTAAAATATTACAAAGGTATTAAAAAAAATTTCTTATTACTTTGTCAGCTAATTTGATATTTAATAAAAAATTTATATGATTTTTGTTTCACTCGAACACTATAATATTTGAAAGAAACTTTCGATTCATTCGATTGCAGCCGTGATTTTAAAATAATTAATTTACCACGATCTAATTTGTTTATTAAATTTTAATTATTACAGAAATGCAATGATCAAAACAAATAGAAAAGAATGAAAAAATGAAAATTTTGCACGGAAAAGGATGAAAATTCAAGTAACGAAATATTTGAAAATAAATTTGTTAGAATAATAAGGCATAAATGCAAAACTTAAGGAGACAACTTTATATTATAATCTAACGAAATGAAAAAATTTAAAAGAGAATACTTTTATATAGAGATACTCCGGTAAGCAATTCGGTGAAAATGAAAGTCATCAGATCTATTTCTATGACTCGAACTACTCTCTCTCTCGAAACTAATAATAAATATATCAGGACAAAACAGCTTTCTTGAAAATATAAAGATAAATATTATAGGGTTCTGATATATGAAAATTTATTTTAAGAACTGAGTATGTTTGAAGTATTATAAGATACATATTTGAGTAGTAAAATACTGTATACTTCAATTATAATACCATTATTCTTATTTTGTTTACTTCATTACAATGTTGAAACAGTGAAAGTGAATCATTTGGTTTTTACTGGATCCCTTGCAAACTATTTGTGCAGCCCTCTCATTAAAAATGGAATTGTTACTTGAATATTTTGAAAAGCAGAAATTAAGTTTTAGAAATTATTAGTCTGTCTTTTAATAGAAAATTCTTTTGTATAAATTTATTTAATATATTATTCAAATAACTCCTATAGGCTTGCTTCTCTCCTTTATTTTCCTTTTTGTTTGAAACATTTATTCTTGAAAAGAGTTAATTTAGTTTATTTTATTTCCATCTATTCATGTCAAATTATTGGAATTACCATCACAACCTAATCGAGAATTATATTTCGTGAGATATGTAAATTAATAATAAGGCGTTGTACATTTTTGGATTCTTTTAAAATGACGGGAACCATAAGTCATTTTAAATTTTTATTTTAACCAATTTTATAATTATTATTATTTGATTGGTTCAATTCTCATGTTATCAGGTGCTCCATAAGTATTTTATTTAAGAAATTAGAAAGTTTTACTTCTAGAATAAAAGATTATATTTGCCCATTATATGAATCATTTGCATTAATTTGTGATAATATTTTAAATATGTATTTGTCTTTGAATTGATATTCTCAAGTACAATTATTACCAAAACTTATCAGTGTCTAAAAACGGTTAGAAAATCTATCAATTGTTGGTAAGTGTGATGTGATCTAGATTGTAATTCATTATATTGGGACATTAAAGAGTCTTCATCTAATATTAGTAAATTTAAATAATGTTGAGGGGAAATCATCAAAAATTAGATAATTAATTTCACTTCAAGAGCTTTATATCGTAAATTGTTTTGGATTACTCAATTAAGTGATTTTAAATATTCTCATTCGAGACATACAACTCAAAAGTATTCTTAAGAATTTATTTCAAAAATCTCGAAATGGCCAATACAAATTTAAAAAATATTTATCTAGATTTATAACTTCAATTTCGGCAATTATAAATTATTGTACCAAGATTACCGAATTATCTTATATAATTTAAGACCTGAACAAGAAATAGAAATATTTAATAATAATTTTAATGAATTATGAAGATTTTCATTTAGTTGCGCATATTTGATGCTTACTTATTATTACTTATTATTTTATTTTGCAGCTAAGAATTTACCAAAATCACTTGAAGCCATTGAAATTATAATGGGTTATGAAAATCTATGGATAGGGTTCCATAAATCAGATCGGATCGGAATTTTAATTCTTAATCCTGATTTGTCATATACAGTTCAGATCCTTCTTTTAAAATCTGAATTCTAATGGATTCGAAATATTTGAAGATTTGAAGATTTTTATGTTCTTCATGAATTAGAAATATTTGAATATTTGAATATTTGTATCCATTTTTATTAACTTGATTTGAAAAAAATTTTTTTATCACTTTTCCTCGCTCCCCTCCTCCCTTCTCTAGAATCTGTAGGATCTATTTATTTGGATTTGATCCGTCCAAATCTGTTGGGTTTATTTTTGAGATTGATTCATCAGTTCTTATTTTTTGAATCTGAATCCGGATCATAAAAGCAAGATCTGATCTGTCCGATCTGAATTCGATATACGAATCAATTAGAATTTGAATATTTTTGCAAAAACTTATTTAGTAGTATTCATAGTTGAGTAATTTTTCTGAAGGGTGATGTTGTAAAGGAGGGGGAATGAAAAGATTATTGTAAGACACTCAGGATGATTATTTACATTAAATGATGGACATTTCAAAGTTATTGAAGAATAAGGTATATAGAAGAATGTAATAAATAATATTTCATTTATTTATTTGATATAATTAGAGCTCTGAAAGTTTGACTCATAAACTCGCATAAAATATTATTATAAAAACATAATGGGTTGTAGCCCATACATTAAATTTCATATAAAATTTCGATTCATTTGATTCGGAGTCGATAATTTGAGTATTGCAAAGAAACATATTCACATCTTTATTTTTTTAATTTTGTTTATAATTTGAGTATTGCGCAAAAAAAGAATTTTAATAACTAAGCTATACTTTCTGCCAAAACTTTAATTTATTTATTATATTTTCAAATGTAGTGCACATTTATATCGGAATCAGATACCATCTGATAGCCCGATTGCGTAAATTTTCGGGGTAGTCATCAAAATCAGCTTAGCCTATTTGTATATCATCTATAAATCAGCTGTCTATTTGCATATAATTCTATTTATTTGTGCCAAAACTTTTGCCGTTTTTCTTCATTCGACCAGAATATTTAAGATGCTGTTAGATATGAGTTGTATTATTGAGCAGAGAGTTAGTTGTTAAGTTATAGAGTTAGTTGTTAAGTTATAGAGTGTATTCAGTAGTCTTAAATTATATTTTGTGAATCCTGCATTTTTAAATCTTTGAAGAACCAAGAGGTTTTCATCTAGTGGTCCTTGGTGCTCTGGAAGAATTATTGCAGACCAGTAGAGTATTGTAAAAACTACAGTCTGCAAAGCATAAAGCAATGTGATCAACTGAATTATTACCATAAACATTGCCCCTTATGAATCTGGGATGCCAGTGAGAGCGAAAACCAGGGGTGCTGTCGGCTTGCTCTTGAGAAAGTTAAGATATGAATGCAGTGAGTTGTTCTCGATGGAGTGTCGGTGTTCTTTTCTTTTTCTGGTGGATAAGATATTTTTAAAGTTAATGTAAGAAGGGATGATAAAAAGTTTTTTCTTTTTGGATTTTAAAATAGATAGTTTAAAATTTGTTTTTTGTATAGAGATCTCTAAATACTAATAAATACTTTTTGCGTGCCTTGATGGTTAAAGAAAATAATATAAAATTGGAAATATGGTACTGATTAAATTATAGCAAAAATATGGAGCATCTCTTGTAAACATTTTGTTTAATAATTGAATTTAATGTCAATGGTTGAATACTGAAGTTCAAAATTTATTCTTTAGAATTTAAGTGATAATTTTTCACTCAATTTTTATTAAATAGATCTGAAAAATTGAATTTAATATTATTTAGTAACATATTTGTTAATACTTTTTTTTTTTTGTTTCAATCTTTTTTTTTTATTATATTTCTGTTATTTTTATTCACGTCTGAGTAAAGTCCAAAATTTCAGTAGATAATAAGATAAAATATTGTTCTAATTAAAGTTTAGATATTATTTCTAGCTACAATTCATTATAAGATAATTTGTATTTATCTTTGATCGTTACCCATACCGTACTTGATAGATATTAAAGATTAAATTTATCATTTTTGTCAATTTTGTTTGAAGCTGACACTCCCAACCAACCCATCAGTTTAAACCACCCTTTCGATTTATATAAAAACATTAACAATGATAATCGCGAATTGTATTTTTCGTTTAATTATTTTTGTTTACTGTAGAATAGTTAAAAAAAAAAAAAAAAAGAGTTGACAGATTTTGTGCAAAGCGAAATTATCTGTTTATATCTCGCTGTTGACTCAGGAAGGATTATTTTGAAAAAAAACAGGGTGTGAAAAGACTATTATAGTTAAGTTTTGTGAAAGGTACTATTTCTGTTGCACCAAGAATTGGGTGAACAAAAAATTAACTAAATGTGACCTACGACATCTAAAAAGTAGTTAATTGACGTTAATCATCTAACAATTACAAGAAAGATTTAATGAATGCATTGGAAATGAAGTAAGCAAGAATACTTTAAAGCGTACATTATATGAAATGGGGTACCATAGTCAAACAGCTCTTATTAGAAAACCAATATTATGATAATCCGTTTTAAATGAACACAAAGACAAATCTTGGACCATAAATAATTTGAAAAAAAGTGCTTTGGAGTGACGAATCACAATTACATTATTTAGAAATGATGGAAGAATTCATTTATGGTAATTTCCAAAAGAAAAATGTGACATTAATTGCCCTTGTTCCACTGTAAAGCATAGTGGTGGTGGAGGAATTTTTCTCGGTATAGGTTAAGACCTTTAACCAGAATTGATAGGCGGATTAATAGTAACAGATGTATATAGATACCATTTTTAGAAGAATTTGAAGAGAAAAATGGAAATTATATTTTTCAACAAGATAAAGCACCAACTCATACTTGTGTCCCAACACGAAATCTTGTGCAGCAATGGAAATTTCTGATATCTGACTTAAACCCAATTGAACACCCATGGGATGAACTTGAAAGACATATTCGAGCTAAAAAAGAAAATCCAAAAAATTAGAGAGAATTGGAGTTGTTTTTACAGGAACATTGGCTACATATTAGAATTGACATTTATTAAAAATCTTTTAACAAGAGTAAAGGCAGTAATAAAATATCATGGTTATTCTACTAGATATTAATTGATTTTTATCAAAGTTTTTACAATTTTTATTAGATATTCTAGGGACTTGGAATTTTTTCACATGCGAAAAGTATATTTGTCACCAAATATTCGTCATCTAATATTTATCACACGTGAATAGTTTCGATCACCTGAACATTATGTGTTTTATTTTTATTGGATAATAATCACTGGTGTTGAACACCACTGGTGTGATTTAACAAATGCCGTTTTTTTTTTATTTTATTATATATATAATGTGAATTTTTTAATTATATCTATAGAATATATTTTTTTAAAAATATAAAAAGTTGTTAAAAGCATGTGCAGACAAGATTATTAAATAATGGAATGCGTGATATAATAATTTTTTTTTTTTAAAATAATCACGATTTTCAGGGGGTAGTCCTAAACTTTTGGGTCGGGAGTGCAATTTTTCCACATGTAGGTATTTAATTTTGACATAAAAATATAATAAGATAGCCCTAGTTTAGGGGAATCTAATAGAAAAAAAAAAGTTTGTTTAATTGATGATTCGTTTCCAAACAGGTTTTATAAGCTAAAAAATTTCTCTACATAATAATTTCAAAACTAATAAATAAAGTATATATGTTTTAATAGTGAACGCAATAATTTTCTACTTATCAAAAGAAGTTTTTTTTTTTGATAATATTAACTTTTTTTTAATAAAAATAAAAATTTAAATTTAATCCAAGAAAAAAGTTTTTTGATTTTTTTTACTTTATACTTAAATTTCGTAAGCTTTTATTATTATTATTATAAATATTTTTAATATTATTATAATACAGATTTTATTAGTACAAATTTTGTTGCGCAATTTAGTATACATTTTATTGCGTTAAAGCTATTAAACAAATTTTTACGAATATTTGTAATTAATAAATATTAAATTAAATTTAATAAATAAACAGTATATATCTTAGAGTTATCATAAAAAAAAATTATATATTTTTAAATAAAAATTAAAAAAAAGTTTTATATTAATTAATTTAAATTACTAAGTGTGTCACAATCAGCATTTTAAATTTAGTAATTTTTTTAAAATTTTCATGTGATGAGTGAGCGTGCATTAAAACATTCCCAAGTTTTCTTGTAATTAATAGTGTTAATCAATGGAAATGGAGTAGTTTTGGCGTCGAAATTATCTTAGTTACTTTAGATTCTGATTTTTGATGGCTTGAGTGTTTCAATTCTAAATCAGGTGTATCATAGTAGGGTTTACTGGACTAGTCAACAGTGAGATCGTATTCATATGATCATAATTATTATTTCCTTTATTATACTGTTGTGGTGACTGTGGTTGATTATCATTAAGTTTTCGCATTCGAGTTACGCTTTGTATTACATTAATTGCTTTCTTCAAGAACCATGGATGTTGAAGTGCATCATTAGCCGTAATTCTTTTATCAGGATTATATTCTAACATTTTATTAATTAAATCTTTCGCTTCATCACTTATGCCTGACCAATAATCATTATCAAAATCATATACACCTTTTAATATACTATCAAATAATGCTTTTTGATTTTCTCCCCAAAATGGTGTATATCCACATAAAACTGTATAAAGTATTACTCCAATACTCCAAATATCTACAGGTTTCCCATATCCATTTTGCCTTAATACTTCCGGTGCCACATATCCGGGTGTACCACAAGCTGTCATTAAAATATCATCATTATGTTTTAATATTTTTGAAAGACCAAAGTCGTTAATCTTTAAAGTTGAGGACTCGGATTTATCACTAAATAATAGATTTTCTGGCTTTAAATCACGATGAGCGATCTATAATTAATAAAAGGTAAATAATAAAGTAAAGTAAGTAAATAATAAAGTAATTAAATAAATAATAAAGTAAGTAATAAATAATATAACTTACGTCACGATCGTGTAAATATTTAACTCCTGATAAAATCTGTTCAATTAAAATTGCTGCATCCTTTTCTGTATAACTTCCTCTTCGTACTAATTGATTATATAATTCCCCACCAAGTGCCAAATCGGTAATAATATAGACTGCATCTTTGGTTTCGTAAATATCATGTAATGAGATAATATTTGGATGATTTACTTGTTTCAAAACATCCAATTCCGTAGTTAACATTTGTTCTTTGCCTTATGAATAGAATTACAATAAATAGGTAAATTATTTTTATTATTATAAAAATTATTATTAGTAGATTATAATTATATTTTACCTTTTATGGCTTTTTTTAAAATAATTTTTAAGGCATAATTAATTCCAGTGCGTTTATCTGTGCATTCTTTAACTACTGCAAATGATCCTCTTCCGAGAATCTTTTTTGATACACTATAATATTTTTCTAATGATGATGGATATGATGATGGTTCTTTAGGTAAAGATTCTCGTTTCACTTTTCGATGTTTATTACTTGACATATTATTCTCGCTGTTGCTTATATTTTTATTTTGAATAGAACGAGTATCTGAGCTATCTTGTTTAAAGATACTATTCAGAATTTTTTCTATTGTCGTCATTTTTGAAGAATTAATGATTTATTTAAGGATTTGAATGCTTTAAGATTTATTGATTATTATTGATTATTATTATTGATTATTATTATTAATTATTATTATTAATTATCATTATTAATTATTTTTATTAATGGTTATTATTGATTATTGATTATTGATTATTGATTATTATTTTTGATCATTATTATTAATTCTAGTAAAAGAGATGTAAGATTTTTTTTAAAAAAAATAAAAAATCACGATAATGATAATGACAACTCTTTATAATTTTTTTTTTAAATCACTAATTTTCGAAAGTAATATCAAAACGGAAATGATTGCCGAAAACAGAAATAAAAATAGAAATTTTTGATAATCATGTACAATACTAATATGGAATGTCAGAGCATTCAAAAATAATAATAATTTGAATTATTAAAATATATTAATAGAAAATTCTATTAATTAAAGATATACCTCCTTTAAAGTTTCTATAAATAGATTATCCGACGTATCCGTGTCTATAATCTTAATAATAGAAATTACTTCACGAAAAATTCGTAATCTCACATTATTACTGTATATGGATATCATATTATATTATTAATTTAGACTTTTTTTGAAACAAAAACGATTAACAATTTTATCGATCAATAAACCTTAATTATTATGTCACTATAGAAATGGAAACCATTTTGATAATCACGTGGGACAATTTCATCACTATCCTAAAAAAAACTAAGTTGAAGTATTGATATTTCTGTTAAGTATTTGGTATTATTATTGAATAAGTTTAAATATTTTATTTTTAGAAATTAATGATTTATTTTAATTATTTTAGTTATATTAATAATTAAAATTGGAAACTTTCGTCATTTTTGATCTTCGCGATTTTCAGTGTTGGAGTTTCAGATCGTTCTATCATTATGACAAAAAAATGGACTTAAATACTATAGGTCAAAATTGATCGGTTGGCAAAAAATATGCATAGCCCAACACTGGCGCTTCTTGACTAAGGCTAAAATCGCTCAAATTTACCAACAAGTTCAAGCGACCTGATATTATATTTGATTTTCTCTCCCAGAAGATATCTAGTTTCAAACGAGATGACTGCGACTATAAATTGAATTTTGGGAATATATATTTCAATGGAGAAAAGCAAAACATTCTACTTTACCTAATCATGAATTTTTTTAGGCGTAAATATATACGTAATATTGTGACACGTCCCTTATAAATTCTGTAATATTTCGTAGTTTTTCACTTTAAACTGGAATATATGTCGGATATTGGCGCTAAAAGGATAAAAACATGTTCTCTTGCAGGGCTTTCGTTCGTTCGTAAGCAGTGTTGTCAATTTTATCGTTCCAATTGCTTTAATTCACAATTGGACATATAAAATCTATATTTCCAATTCAAAAATATGGCGCGGTTTTACTAAGTCCAATTGTCAACATTGGTCATAAAAATACCTTAATTAAAAATCTATTGGCCTTCAACTGCGATCGAAGTCAAAAAATGGAATTATTTTTGCACAAAAATTGTGAAAAAATTACAAAAAATTTCGCGCAAAAAATTCCGTAATTTTTCGTAATTTTCACGCACCATTTACGCCAAAATATTTTGTTTTTTAAACTTCGATCGCGGTTTGTCGTCAAGAGGGATTTTTGATTAAGGTAAATCTTTATGTCCTAACGAAATCACTGATTTTGGGCTACAAGATAACATGTATTTTATCCTTTGAGCACCGATATCCGCCGATATACTCCAGTATAAAATGAAAAACGGCTTGTAATATTGTAATATTGCGCCTAAAAAAATTTCCTGATGCTAACTGATCTCAAAGAATGGACACCTTAATCTTGAAAGAAATTTTAAAGCGATATCTCTCACATAGATATTTCAACATTTTTCGGGGAAAGATTTTTTTGAAAAGATTTACCCACCTCGTAAGATTTCAAACACAACACTTCCAACTATAATTTCTAATATTATTACTGATAAAGATTCTTTTAGAAATTTTATCACGGATTGATAGTATATTAACCCCATATATTGAAAATAAACTATATGAATTTAATTTATCTAAATATTGTTTTGAAAGTGAATAATCAATTCGTGAATGAAAAATGACCGAAAATAGTTTTGTAATTAAAAACCGCAAATATGTACTGGCAATTGCTAATTATCAATATTGGTTTTCGGCCCTGCTTTATATTTAAAAGGCAATTTGAAAACTAAAAAAAAATGTTCAAGCCTCGTTAGTTCAGAGTATCTTAAACCCCATGAATTTGAATTTATTAGTCAGAAGTATTATTCAGTTTTTCTTTTTCAGTTTAAAAATATTGAAGTTCTCAAAATTTTACCAAGAAATAATTTAAAGTAACATGCATTCTCAGTTTTATGCATTGTCGTTTTTGTATAATTTTCGAATAAAAGACAATATTTTTTTATGAGATAAGAATAAAATTAAAATTACACTTGCTAACGAATTACTCATAATTCCATTAAAATTAAGTTCATTATGAAGTCACACAACTCTTGTTGCTAAAGTGCTTCAGTGCAATGAAGTGTTTCGTTACTTCGTTGCTCAGTAATTTATCAAATTGCCATTTTCTTTTCATCTGAAATTAATAATCTGTTCCGATATTCACGATCGGTGCTTACATGTATACCACCTAATAATTCTACAATATAATGTTTGCCAAGTTATTTATCCCTTAAACTGTTTTGCAGGCAAATTTGCCTGCAATTTATAAAATTAATGTAAATCTTTTAATAACTTTTTTTAATTTCGGCCAATCATGTAGTCACGTGATTTCGATATACAGTATAACCAATAATTTTGAAATAAATTTTTAAAGTATTTTTTTATTTTAATAATTTTTTAATACGGATGATTTTCATTAATAAAAAAAGTCTTTGGATGATTTTTTACATTTTTCAAATTCGTCTGTGATTTACAATGCATGAAGTAATTTTCTACTAAGATATTTCTAAGATAGAAAGAAAGTTCTTGTTCTTGGCTACAAAATGACATGTATATCATTCAAACATCATTGATATTCGCGGAGTTATTCTAGTTTAAACAAAAACGTCCGTGAAAAAAATCGTGCAAAAAAGTTTTTTACGGGCGTTTATCTTTAAACTAGAATAACTCCGCGAATATCGATGCTATCTGGATGAAACACATATTATTTTGTAGCCAAGAACAGGAAATTTCTTTCTATCTTAGAAATATCTTAGTAGAAAATCGCTATACGCTTTGAAAACTGCGAGCGAATTCGAAAAAACGTAAAAAAATCTTGAGATTTCCACCTTTTTTTACATTTTTCGACTTTGCTCACGATTTACGAAGCGTAGAGCGATTTTCTACTAAGATATATCTGAAATATAAAGAACTACATTGTTCTTGGCTACAAAATTATATGATTTTCATCCAGATAGCATCGATATTCGCGGAGTTATTCTAGTTTAAATATAAACGCCCGTAAAAAAATTTTTTTTGCACAATTTTTTCACGGATGCTTTCATTAAACTAGATAATTCCGCGAATATCGATGTTATCTGGATGAAACTTATAGTCCTTAAACTGTTTTGCAGACAAATTTGTTTGCACTTTATAAAAATTAATGTAAATCTTTTAACTACTTTTATAGATAATAATTAACTATCTTATTTAACTAATAATTATAATTAATACTTGGTTATCATATTAATATTTAACTAATAATTATGATTAAATATGATTACCCTATTTAACTAATGATTTAGTCAGAACTAATCTGAAAAAATTTGAAATAAATTTTTAAAGTATTTTTTTTATTTTTTCACACATATTAATAATTTTTTATTAATTTAATAAAATTTTATTTTTTTAGCACTTTTTCATAATGAAAACTTCAACTTTTAATGAACAAGATAATAATACTTTGTATATTGCAGAATTAACTTGTAATAATTATGAAAATTATGAAGAAAATGAATTAGAAAGTGATGAAAATAATGATATTAAAGAAGAACTTCAAAATACATAAGTGAAGGTATCAATAGAGGTCAAGGTTGAGGCCAAGGTCGAGGTCAAGGTCAAGATCAAGTTCATAGCCATAGCCACAGTAATAGTCATGAAGAAACTCAGCAACATGTACAACTTCCTCCCCCTCCATCTTTTAATAAATTTCAACATTTAAGACCTTTACATGAATTAAATTAAATTTACCTGATGAATACCAATCTTTTTCTCTATCTCCTTATTTGATTTTTCTTTTTTTTTTCTTTAGAATAAATAAATACAATAGTAAAAAATACAAATAACTATGCTATTTTAAAAAATGCAGGAGAAGGATGTAAATGGAAAATTTAACAATAAAAGAATTTAAAATTAGGTTAGCTATTTTAATATATTCTGGTATTTTTAAACTTTCTAGTATTAAAGATTGTTGGAGTAAAAGTGATAAATATCCTGAGCACAAAATAACTACTTTTATATCATCAATTCATTTTGAGCAGGTATATTTTTAATTTTTATGATAAATATTCAATAAAGTATTTAAACTAACTTAACTTTTAAAATTCAGATTAAAAATTTTATGCATATTTCAGACTGTTCTATTCCACCTTTATATTGGCATTCAAATTAGATCCATTGGCAAGTCATATTCAAAAAGTTTCAAAACAATTTGTATTTCATCATCTAATATATCAATTGATGAAATGATTGCTTGATTTTTTGGTCAAAGTGCACATACAGTTAGAATTAAAAATAAACCAACACCAGAAGGATACAAAATACTTTCTCTATGTGATGCAGGATATACTTACACTTTTATTTTACTTCAAGGATTCAAAACTATCTTGAATTAGAACAAACTTTCAAATTTAAATAAAGTTGATAATGAAGTTAACCATCTTGTTTCCCAATTACCTTTAAATAAATAATTAACATATATTTAGATAATTATTTTTCATCTATTAATCTCTTTCAACATTTATACAACAACAATTTTGGAGCTTGTGTGGGTGAA